AATTTTAGTTCTCTGTCTGAGGAATAGCTGGAAAACTTTTTCTTAACAGAGGGAGTTTTATAAGGAAAGATGGAGAATATAGATAGATAAAGAATGAAAGGGATAATAAAATAAAATAAGGCAGAGGTGTTCTCTTGAGGTGTAAAGAATAAAATATATCACCTACAGAACAAAACCTCTAGGTCTCTTATTATTCTTCCATTCATTTACACTATTTGGTACCTTGTAAGCACATCCTTAGTTTCTCAACTACAATATAAAGAGGAGAGGCTAGATTAGTATTCTTCAAACTGTGTTCCAAGGAGCTGCTGTCCTAAGAGCTGCCTCTTGGGTGGCAGTACCTTTTTAGCCAAGTACTACCTTTTTAACCAAGGAAATGGTACTGCTATGTGTTTTATGTTCTGGGCTTTCTCATAAAATTATATTTGAACGAAATGCTTGGCAGCAAAAAAAGAAACAAAACAAATTTGTAAACAATGGATTAGCTCTAGCTCTGAAATACTTAAGTATAGATTCAGTATTTTTTTCATTAAGTTTATTGGTACATTTTGGGTATAAAATAGTTTTAGATTAAGTATTTTTAATTTTAAAAATTATTGCAAACAATGATACTTGGTAGGTACAGATTTGGGAGCAAAGCAGCAGAGAATAACAATAGGGTAAGCAAAATTTGAATAATGAAGCTTCTGGGTCTGGTGATAGAAAAACGATTTCCTGAAGATATACACATTCTTAATTCAGAATTCTGTTTAGTACCATCACTTGATTTAGGATTAACAAATCTTGCACTGTTATTTGGAATACAGGAAGGGTAAAGAAAAGGGTGGTCCTTTTGAATTTTTAAAGCCCAAATCACTCCTTATACTTAAATTTTGTTCCTATTGTTTTCCTCAACTTAAGCAAGAGCTTAAGCAAGTTTTTTTTTTCTGAAAGTGTCTGGATTGGAATATTACATACAGACCATGTCTAATACCCAAATAAAACATTTAATCAATTCTAAGGTACCATCTTCCTCACATTTTAATGTTTCTGATATTTGGGTACATCATACTATCAATGTGTACGTTATTGTAGTAGTGTACCTATATTTCCCCAGAAGCATTGTTATTAAATTATGGGAATATTTATAATTTAATGATGTCTTAGATTCAAGGAAACATTATATTATCAATAGAAATAAGAAACACCTAAATTTGAATAAGAAATACTGGAGATGGGGTCAACAATTTCTCTTACCTTGAGTCTTTTATTCTTTTTCACAATACTGGGGATCAAACCTGAGCCTCATTTATGCTAGATGAATACTCTATCTCTGTGCTACATACCTTTAACCAAAAATCCAGGGCTTTTTAAAGGAAAAAAATCTATTTTGAAAGTTAGGTTACCAGTATACCACTGTCCGTATTTACTTTTGATCTTTGTTATATTCACTGCTTACTCAAATATGTAATGCTATTTCATGCCTAGATAACATTCCATGTTCTCTTGCCTCTATTTAGAATGCCCTGCTTGGAATGTTGTCTACTATAAAAATCTTATCCACCCACATCTAGTTGATCCCTCTCTGCTTTATATCACTATGTACCTGAGATATGCTTCTATATATGTACTTGCCATGCCGAACTGCAATGATTGGTTAGGTGTCTTATCTCCTTTATTGCAGATTGCTTAGGGACAATTTACTGTTTCTTACTGATTTTTGTGACTAAGTACTTAGTGATTGGTATGTAGTAGCATTTATTGATACCGTATTTAAAGACTGAATAAATGAAGAATGAAAGAGAAAGAAAGGAAAGCAAGAAAAAAATAACAGTATATAAGAAGTAAGGTACTGTAGTCCCAGAAAATATTTTATTTGCTGCTTCCCTTCAGTAGTGTTCATGCCTTATCCAAACCTTCTGAACTTCTAGTAATAGACTTACAATTACATACACTGTATTTAGCTGTTAATAATAAAATTCATTTATGTTAGTTTTATTTCCTCAGTCAATCATAAATTAGAGGGACAGATCAAGTCTTCTGCATAAACTTATTGAGGCTGAGATAAATTTCATATTCCTATTATGAAGTGCGATTTAGTTTCTAAGATTATTTAGTATACTTTTTAAATTAAAACTAGTGGCAATTTGCATGAGAGAAATAGGAAGGCTCACAACAGTTATATTTATCTAGAACCTAGAATTTTTCCAGAGCTTAGAGCAATCCCCAATAGTAGATATCAAATACATAATTTTACAGTAATTTAAGACAGAAGAATTTGAATATTACTGGTAAAACCCTGGGAGCTAATTATGTTCAGATCACTTGAAATCTTAACTCATTAGAGTTTGAAAAATCTCCTGAGGTACTTAAAGTCACTATTCTCATTATGTTACTTGATTCAATTGAGTATCTTAGATTTTGCTAATAAGAGAAAACTTGAAGTTCATGCTAAAGAGAAACTTCATTTATCATTTGCTTAAGGAAAAAATATGAAGCATTTTTATGGGTACCTCAGAATTCTATCATGTAAGAGAGGAGAGAAAAAGAATCATAGCCTCGGATTTCAAAACTAAAACTTTTAACATCAGAGCTACTTGTGCATGTTGCCGAAATATGTTGAATTCCACACTTTGGGTTTGGCTCAGACTTTTTAACAAGATTATTATGAGAGTCAAAAAAGCAAAAGTAAGGTAGTATCACTGATATTGTTTATATTGGTATTGATATTATATAGAAACATTGATTTGGCAAAGGATGCTGCTCAACACGCTGTACATTCAAATAAGGGAGCCAAGCAACATTTTAAATGTCTTCTTAGTAGTTTAAATCAGATGTTCAGATCCAAAAATTAAGAAGAAAATATTATTTTAAATCTCTCATTACAAGTTGAGTCATTACAAGAAATATATAAATAAGCAAGAAGACAGACTGAGCAAAGGAAATGATTTATTCTGATTGCCTATCAGTTCATCAGAAGGTAATAACCAATAAGATAGCATGCGTGAAAAAGAAATAGAATGAAAGAATTTTCAGACCAATCAGATTAGGTAGTTTTAATAGAACTAGAAATAGTGTACTATCTCATGCAATTTTATTATGATTATTTATAAATCTCATCAACTGTGTAAGGTTAGTTGATTTTTGTACATGCTATCAATTTTAAACTGCCCTATTATTCCCCTAGTACCTAAAATATAGCAGCCACTGTTTATAAAGAGATTAAAGACTTGACTACAATATTATGTATATAATAGTCAGTCAGTTTAGATATAATAGTCATACAGAAAATGGAGAGGATAAGCTTACCACTAGCTCCTGACAACATGCAGTTGAAGAGTCTTTTCTTGTCAATCCTAGGTATACATCCTCCGTTCCTACCTGCTGTTTGAATATAATCTCATACCTGAAAAAAGTCAATGAGGATAGACTCTAATGAAAGAGCAATTTCCTATTATAGAAAAAAACTAGAAACTTATGAGAATATGCTATTACAAAAATTAAAGGGCAAAATAAAGTGCTAGCTGTTTTTCAGACATGCAATAGAACATAAAAGAATAGAAATCTAGAAAAGCAATGAAAATATCAAACATTTAAAAGCAGGATATTTATTTTGTACTTGTTTTCTAAAATAAAGCTTAACTGCTTTAGAGTTATACTAATAAAATGGGTTGAAAGAACTTCTAATAAGTTTAAAAGTAGAATACAGTGGCTAGAAAATAACTGGGCCCATAAACCAGGGTTTGAAGGATATATTGAAACCCGCCTCTGCTAATTTTGAATCACAGATTTAGAAAATCCAGATTAAAGGCCTGGGGCTGTCATTTAGTGTGTGGTAGAGTGCTTAAGTAGCAGGCTTGTGGCCCTGGGTTCAATTCCCAGTACTGGAAAAAAGAAAGAAAATCCAAGTTTAGTACTGTCTTATCATGAGGTGTGTGTGGGTGTCAACTAAATGATCTCTATGGTCTTTTACGCTTAGAAAACTGTATGATAGAAACACCAGTAATGTGGTCAATACAGCTGCCTATAGTGTTTAGAATCATTCTACAGAATTATTAGTTTCAATAAAAGATCATTCTGGTATTTTATCCCACATACAATTCACATATTTTTTTCCTTCCTTCTAAATTTGGGCTCCTAGGGATAGAATGGTTTATAAAAGCACCCTGTCAGAAGGTACCTATCTTCTCAGATGGAATGAAACAAATGTGTACAGTCTCTTTCTTTTCTTCTTCCTTTTTGTTTTCTTAGTGGTGTGGATGGAACCCAAGGCCACATGCATGCTAGGTAAGCACTTTATCACTCAACTACATGCCCAGTCCTACAAATTATTTTTTTTTGTTTAATTCTATCCTAATGAAGAAATAGTAATCTCTGGATAGAAAGACTAAAGACTAGATTGAACTTTTGACCATTTGAAAATAAGAATACTCTAAATGAAAAAAGAATGTCTCTGAGTTTAAATAAAACTAGCAATAGGTAGTTATTTGATATGTGGCACTTTTCCCTTAATAGACTTTTATGTCTACCAAGTATTTACAAAGGTGAAGCAGGTTAAAACAAGCAGAAAGTATTGATCCATATGTTGGTGACTTCCAGGTGCATCTGCTCATTTCAGCTTTCACTTGGAGATCCAAATGCAATTTTCCAACTGCCTGCTGTACAGGTTTGCCTTGATGTTCCAGAGGCACCTCAGAGTCTACATATGCAGGACCAAACTCATTGCTTCTCCAACTACCTACATTCTCTGTCACAGCTAAGGCAATTACTAGTTACTTAGTCACCCAAGCTAGAAACCTCAGCATCATCTTTGATGCTTTCTTCTCACCCATTGTATCTAATCAAATACTAAATTTTCCTTCAAACTCTCGGTAACGACCCCTCATACTTCTGTCCAAGGCCAGTGCTTAGTTCAGGCTCTTATTGTTTTTCATATGGCCAATTGTGATTCTTGTTTTGTGAACTGCCTGCTTATGGTCTTTACTCATCTTCCTCTTTATTCATTGAGGCATTTTGAAATGTATTTTCATAAAGAAGAATATAAAGATAAAAATTTTAATTGGTGTAACCATTGTGGAAATCAGTGTGGAGATTCCTCAAAAAACTAGGATTAGGGGTCCCATTTGACCCACCTCTTCCCTTTCTGGGTATCTTCCCAAAAGAATTAAAAGCATGAAGTGATCAGATTAATAAATGTATATTGGTAGCTGAATTTAGCAAAGAAATAGAGATAATCATGATTATACCTTTATTTTTACAGGAAGAGATATAACTAGAGTATGTGTCTACAGAAGTAATAATGGCTTCCAAAGAATATTTTTTAAAAGGAACAA